CTTCAAATTTATATTTTATTCAAAAATAAAAAATCATCGTTTTCTCAAAATCACATAAGACCATATTATAACAACGACTGAGATAAAAGAATAAAATGAAATATTAAAATCTAGATGTATCTCGTTATATTGCGCGAGTACCCTTCTAGTATATATATATATATATATATATATATATATAATTTTTTAAACATTTTACATAATTATATAATTATCTTTTTGAAAACCCTAAATTTTAGTCGGTCGTACTCTAATCTAATTTCTAAACCTACTATTAATTTTCACCGATTGAGTTCATCCTTAAAACCGATTGAAAATATATCCTCAAAATCGATTGAAAATATAATTTTTTTGAATATAACTATACCCGAACCCTACTGACCCTAACCCGACCAACACAAACCAAAACTGATAAAAAATCCAATAACGCAAAATTCGAAAACTTGCTTTTCATATCTAAAATCCGATCAGATTTTTAATTTTCCCATCCAAAGCCACCTAATATTAAAACATAAAATATCTCCCCCCTAAATTATTGTAGGGAAAAGTTCAAAAAAACCCAATGGACTTTACTATTTGGAATGATTAAGTCCTTGAACAATTTTTTAGAACAAATAAATCTTTGAACATTCTAAAATATGTTAAATAAGTCATTAGACTCCACAAAACCTATTAAATAGATCCTTATTCCTTAAAATCTTAACCTGCAACCTGGATAGAAGGTAACTTAAATTAAAAAAAAAAAACTTAAAAAATCTTAAAAGTAAGACTACTCATCTCCCCCTCTCGTGACCACCGCTCCCTTCCCGTCTCCTTCTCCCTCTCGCACAACATCGTCTCCTTCTCCCTCACATCGTCGTCTCCCTCGACCCCATCGTCGCCGCACCACCGCCGCACCACCCTCGTCGTCGCCGCACCACCGCCGCACCACCCTGTAGTTGTAGATTGTGGGACATATCAGGCATTCCTTGTGTGCATTCCATTGCTGCCATACACTTTATCAATAAGGATCCAGAGGATTATGTTAGTAAATGGTTTACTAAGGATCTCTTCAAAATGGCCTATGAGACTATAAGACCATTGAATGGGAGCAACATGTGGACTCCAACACCTTACACCAAACCAAACCCACCTAAGGAAAGAAGAATGCCTGGTAGACCATCCATCAAAAGAAAAAGATCAGAATATGAGAGTTAAAGTACAAGGGTGACTCGATCTGAGAAGACAATGACATGTAGCAATTGCTTGGAAACGGGACATAATGCTAGGACTTGTAAGAATGAAAAGAAGAACCCACCACCTAAACTTGTTAAACCAAAAGGTAGACCAAGACTCAACATTCCAAAACCGACTACAACAAGAAGAGCCAATCAAGGTGGAAGAGGCAATAGAGGTGGAAAAGGCAATAGAGGTGGGAGAATACCATCATATGTAGGGGTCTCTTATAATCCAGTCACGGGAGAAGCAATGATTGGGGTAAGCCATTATTTGTTTTTCAGATTCAAGTAACATTTTTTATGACTATTGCTTACACTTTATTTTCATCATTAAAGACATCCTCAGGTGTGCCACAACCAGCATGGCCCGAAGACATCCTACCGTATTCAATTTCAAGAGAGGCTGTTGTTAACGATGAAGACCGTGATGAAAGTGATACTACTGTTGGTGATGAAGAACATCATGAAAGTGATGATGTTGTTAGACATCAAGAAGGGTTACAAGAAAGTCAAATGGCTATATCTCCACCAGAATTTAATGATGCAAATGAAGAATAGTTCATAACATGACCTTAACATAGATTAGGCATTACTTTGGTATATTTTAGCGCAATTTTTGGTATATTTTGGCGTAACTTTTGGTATATTTGGCGCAATTGTTGATATTTTTTGGCGCAACTTTTGGTATATTTGGCGCAATTGTTAGTATTTTCTTTGCGCAAATTTTGTTACATATTTTGGTTAAACTTTTGGTATATATTTTGGTTTAACTTTTGGTAAAATTGTGCCCAAAATTTGTATGCAGATTATTATGCTTTGGATACAATTTTTGTATATTTTGCGAATAGTAATGAGAATGATATATTTGTTTTATTTTTATAAATGTAAGTACTTTTTTCGTTCAAAAAATATTTATGGACTTGATCGTTCAAAATATGAAAGTCCATTGGTTTTTTCGGATCTTTTCCACTAACAAAATGTATTTAACAGATTTTAGAAAGTCTAAGGACTTATTTAACATGTTTTGTAAAATCCACTGACTTATTTAACAGGTTCTAGAATATCCAAGGATTTATTTGTTTAAAAAAATTGTTCAATGACTTAATCGTTTCAAATAGTAAAGTTTATTGGATTTTTTTTGGACTTTTCCCAATTATTGTACTATAATTCATTTTAAAATGATAAAGCTGGCGTCATTTAAATACAACTTTTAATTTTAAAATATAAACTCAATAAAACCATTTAATTAATCACTAAATATCCAAAATATGATTCAAATGGGTACACCTGATCGAACCAGACCCGACCCGTTTACAATCGTAATAATTATGGTTGTGTTTAGAGAGACGTCTTTAACAATGAAAAATGATGGTGGGCGTGACAACAACATGCCATCATTACACACGCATATATATATATACACACACACAAATCTATATCTATATATGTTAATAAATGCCTCCGCTAATACGACGTCGTTTATGTCAGGCAATTCAACGAAAAAAAACCCAAAGTGAAATTGCCAGCTGGCCCATCTGTAATTAATGCAAAAAAAATTGTAGTATAAATACGAGAACCCCATCGAGGTTAGTGCTCATCGTTGCCCAGTCAATTCAATCAATCGTCAAAGCTTTACAGAACTTCTCATCAGTGCTTGACCGGCAAACACCTTCCGAGGACTCTCATCATCATCAATGGCTACAAAAGTGTATATTGTGTATGTTTCACTTTCTCTCTCACTAGATATGATGTTTTCGTTGTTGATAATTGTTCATTTTTCTTCGATTTTACGCAATTTTAGTTAAGCGATTTGGTTTTATTAGCTGTTGAACAATCTACTAGTTGTTGTGGATCAGTGGATGATTTTTGTTGTTTAGATCGGTTGATTATGATTGTGGTTTGAATTTTGTAGAGTCCTTTTTGAATTCGGAGTATTGATGATTGATTATGTGCGGTTTAAGTGCAGAATTGCGTAGAGAAAGTGGATATAGATGTGTACTTTTGAGCGCATTAACTACTAAATGCCTTCAATCTGTAAGAAATGGATCTAGGTTAGATATGTGTATCTATGATTCAGAAATATGCTAAATTGCTAATTAAGGGATCTCACTTTTTGATCAATGAGGAAGTAGATAAAGGTCTAGTGTAGTGTTAAGACTTTTGGGAAGTGTTAAAACTTTTATTTAGGTGTTTTTATAAAATGGTCCGATGATGTGACATCTGATTGATGATTGAGATATTGCTAGAATATTGAATTGTAGTGCAAGGAAACACGAATGGATAAGTTTTCTTAAGAATCGAAAAATAATAAACCGAATTGACGTTAGCGGTAGGAAAATTGACTAAGAACAATGTTTTGATAATCCTTTGATGGCAAAGTATAGCTGGTGCAAGAAACTTTTAACATTGTAAAAGGATTTAGGCAGGAGTGGACCCACATGGAATGATACCGTGACACGTGCCACAACTTCATGGTTCCATCGTAGGGGAAAAATTATATTTCTAAAGGTGCCATCGTATTGTTTTGTTAGGTGTCACCATATAGGTTTTGAAATTAATAGGTTAACACAAGACTTTAATGGTTGAGATGAGAAACGCTTCTGCCTTTGTAAAAAAAGCATGTTCAAGTCCAATATATGTTGTTTGTTAGCTTAAATGTGTTGGTGTCTTTTCACATACCTTGTTTTTAAAAATATAAGTAGACATGACTGGAACATGGGTCTATTTTATGTAAGGGCAAGGAATCAACCAACAGATCTATAAAAATGTTGTCAATTTTTTTAGATATTTTTTTACAGTCAAATTGTGGCATCACTTGAAAAAATTTCTAGGTCCACCTCCGTTTAGGTGACTGACTAAGATATTGCTAATGGTGCTTAATTAGAATAAATATCGTTGCTGGTATAGATGATACACTACCATTCAGAATCTTACTGGATGGTAAACACCAATTGAAGAGTCCCTTTTAATTGAATATATCTTATTTTTCACCACAAAGATGTAGAGCATATTCATTCTTTTGAGTTGCTCAATATAAATATTTTTCAAATAAATGATTACCAACACTCCAGGAAAGTCACAATGCTTGCATATAAAATTACAAAGGGGTTATTAAGGTTGATAATTATTAAATTTATTGTGCTTGTTACATGTGCATTTCTTTCGAAGGGGACAGTGAAGGGGAGATAATGTGGATGACATTTTACCTGCTGTTTCATGAGTGAAACATGTTTTGTTTTTCTGGTTCTACTGTTCACAATGTGTTTGTACCTGTTAGAGTCCCATAACGGCTGACTTGGACCATTTCTCTTGAATATATGTTGGAACTTCCCTTCTGTCCGTATGGGCTCTTTTGGAGAGTAACGAATGAGGTTCCACATATTCTCACATGGTATTAGAGTCAATGATCACTTTAGGGACTCCACACTTTGGGACAACATGTGTACGTTTAGCCTCTTGTGGAGGCATGTTGGAGCCCACATCGGCTAGATTTACCATTTCCCTCGATATATGTTCAAACCTCCATTCTCTCCTCAAGGGCTCTTTTGGAGAGTAATCTAATGGGATCCACATATTCTCACAGTACCATAGTTGAATGAAGGCTTGAAGTCGGTATAGTGGTCTGCTGCATTCTTGATGCTACAGAGAGAACAGAAGTATATAATGTTTTATATACAGAAAAACTCACACACTCACTATTGGTGAGGCTTGAACACTTGACCTCGAGGAAGGTTGGGCTCTACCGATAACTAGGGTACCAATTTTCTGGTTGGCAGTGTTATGTTCACATGGTCCGTATGGATTTTGTATCCAGTCTCTTATTTTGGTTAAGCTTTTGTCCTCTACGTGGGTTAGTAACCAGTGTTTGTATAATAACAAAATGAAGCTAACAGATCCAGGGGTTCTTTGGTTGAATGACCTTCTATCAGGTTTTTTTAATCCATAACTTTCTGACATTTGAGGATGTCTCTGCTTAACAGAAGAATGCCACTTCCATACACAAGAATGCCTAGAAACTTGTCACAACGTCATAGATTTAAAAAGCACTTGTCAGAAGGTCATGGATTTAAAAAACACTTGTTAGGAGGTCATTTAACTAAATAACTGATAGATGCAATGCACAATTGGTGATGTAAATGCATTTGGTAGTCATGCCAAATATAGCTCCTATCAGCTCATGTATATCTAACATCAAGGAGTGCAGTAGCATGATCTAGACCTTAAATTTGATTGTGTTGCACCAGAAGCTTCCCAAAATAAACCATTCCATGAATCCTAGACTTTCTCTTTTGGCCAAATCAATGGCTATAAGTTAACAAAATTTCTGCTTTGCAGACATGCTTGGACAACTGCATACGCTTTTCTTCTTTCTGTATGGTTTGTTTGTTGTTTGTCTGTCTGTCTTGATTGTTATTGCTTACTTCTAACTCATGTCCAAATTTTATCACTGCCTTTCGTATTTGTAAGTTTTTCTTATGTTCTTCCTCTGTAATTTTTTTGAGGAAGCTTTACCTTTCTTTACGCACACTTTATACAAGTTGGGTCTTCACGGAAACAGCCGCTCTACTCTTCGAGGTAGAGGTCAGGTCTGCGTACAAACCAAACCCCCACCCCACCCCGCCCCAAGACCCGACCTCTGGGTGGGACTTACTTGGTTTGTTTGGTTTGGTATGGAGACAATTGGATGGATGATTAACAATTCTTCTCTAACCTTCTATGGGTTGTTATCTAGGTGTCTATTTCCAATTTCCTGTGTTTTGATAACTAGCTCCATTGGGATTTTCGACCTTATATTTGTATCACAGGAACGTACCTGAAATTGCATGAGGCAATATCGGATAAAATGATTGTCATGACTAACTTTTCCTTGAAAAGCACAATACATCCGTTTTCTTTTCTTTCTAGATAGCAGCTTGATGCCACATAGCCATATATTCACTACCGTCTCATTCCATGTCTGAAAATTTAGCATATCTACCTCTCTCTTTCTAGTTGTATTGCTTTCATTTACTCATATCTAGCTTTTCAAATTTTAGCATATTTTTATTTCTCCCTTTCACACACTTTTTACTAGCCGGAGGGTTTTCACAAAAACAACTGCTCTACTCTTTCGGGTAGACGTCAGATGTACGTACATCTTAACCCCCCCTACCCACCTCCGGGTGTGATACACATACACTGGGTGCATTTGATTTGGTTTCTCTATATCATATCATGGGCTGGCTTTGTGGAAACAATGATGTTACGACAAGATAAGCGTTCATGAATCAACAGTAGATGTTTTAACTTAGAATCTCAATAACAATTACAGAAATTTACATGCTATCTCACCACTAAATGCGGTGTTAAGTTTTAAGCTTCGTCTTTTCCATAGTGAAAATACATTTTTGCATTGTAGTGTTGAGAGAGTTTGATAAAAAATAGAGATTAGAGGGTATAAGAGAAAAAAACAGCGGTCAGATAAGAAAGGAAAGAAGAACGCAAAGGGTGGGGGTGATTATGGACTTATGGTAGCAGAATATATAAATATACCTTTATTTCATGGGGATAGTTCATATATACATATATATTATTATATCATCTCTGTTTTTTTCATTATATGACTTGTACACCTTGAAGCAGAATAAGCACTGATAAGTAATACGTCCTTAAAATTGAATTGAGATTTCTTCCCAAAAAAAGTGTCTACGTATCTATTTTAGTTTGTCTCTAAATTAAGTGTCCGTTTTCATAAATAAATGCCTACTTCCTGTTCCATCCTCAATTATGAGATGGAGAATTCATTACTCCCTCTATTATTAAGGGTAAAATTGTCAATTAGTTAATTAAAAAGTGTAATAATAACTTCTTTTTAAAACTGTGCGCCTTTTTTCTTCATTTTGGACATTTATTTGAGACAGACGGAGCAGTTGTTTTACTGTATCTGCTTTATTAACAATTGTGTAGGTTACTGAGGGGTTAATTCTTGGTTGTGGCAGGTACTACTCCATGTATGGACATGTAGAGAAGCTAGCTGAAGAGATAAAGAAAGGGGCTGCTTCTGTTGAAGGAGTTGAAGCCAAATTATGGCAGGTACATGTTTATTGCAATACTATAAGTTACTAATGTCTTTCTTAGTACTTATGTGTCCGAGGATAGGGAAAAGCACAAAACACACAAGAAAAACAAACCCGTAAACATGAATATATATATATATATATATATAGAGAGAGAGAGAGAGAGAGAGGTTGGTTCGAGGGAAAACCCCCAAAAAATTGTAAAACTCAGGAACACTGTAATAACCTTTCATCTATACGGTATGCACATGTGTGTACAAGTAATTGAAGAGGTTTCCTGGTTTTTATGCACGTGTGCATGTTATGTACATGTGCGTCCTGGAAAAATTACTTATAAATTACTTGTATACACAAGTGCATACCGTACAAATAAACGGTTACTGAAGTGTTCCTTAGTTTTTCATTTTTTTTGCGGTTTTCCCTTGAACCTGATCCTATAGAATATTTGTACATGATTATAGGAAGGTTCAAATGAGGACCATAAATGTTTTGAGAAGCTGATAACCAACTATTCATGCTTTATTCATAATGAATGTCATGACAAATATTCATAATGAGTAGTATCCATGAATATTCAGGGTAATTCATCATTACTAATACATGAAATAGTTGATCTTGAGATTCTCAAAATATTTATGGTTCTCATTTTGAACTTTTGTACATGATTATTTGCAAATATATTCTATTTGCCTACTCAAATTACATTTGTTTGGGATGCAGGTCCCTGAGACTTTGCATGAAGAGGTGCTCGGGAAAATGAGTGCACCTCCTAAGAGTGATGTACCAATAATTACACCAAATGATCTCTGCGAAGCAGACGGATATGTTTTCGGCTTCCCCACAAGATTCGGTATGATGTCTGCCCAGTTTAAAGCGTTTTTTGATTCTACCGGTGGTCTTTGGAGAACACAGCAGCTTGCCGGCAAGCCTGCTGGTATCTTCTATAGCACTGGATCTCAAGGTGGTGGCCAAGAAACCACTGCGTAAGTCTCTGTTATCCAAAATGATTATTTACTTTTTAGTTTTGTGAGAATATCAGGAACCCCATTATATTAAGCAGAAATGGTCTAATTTTAGCCAATGGTGGAATCTAACACGCCCCTCCCTTAGGAGTTAGAAGTTAGATGGACACAGATTGTCCCATAGTGTGAAGAGGGGGCTAGACAAGTACAAATTTCCTTAAAGCGGTAGACCTTGATTATGATACCATGTGAGAATATGTGACATCGCATTAGATTACTCTCCATTAGAACTCTTGACGAGTACAAATTGCACAGTGTGGTACACCTTGATTCTAATACCATGTAAGAACTCTTGACGGGTACATATTGCCCAGAGTGGTAGACATTGGTTCTCATATCATGTGAGACTATGTGACATCCCGTTAGCTTATTCTCCAATAGAACTCTTGATGAGTCAGATTCAGGGCCTTGGTTCTGATACCAAGTGAGAATATTTGGCACCCTGTTAGATTACTCCCGGTAGAACTCTTGACGAATACAGATTGCTCAGAGTGGTAGACCTTGGTTTAGATACCATATTACCATGTGAGAATATGTGGCACCGTGTTAAATTGTTGTAATCGTCCATTTATTCCCATCTATTAGATCATCTAATATCACGGCTGATAGGGTGTTCTCTAGTTTTTCATTTATTTAGAGATTCCATTGAACCTCATTCTCTCTCTCTCTCTCTCTCTCTATATATATATATATATATATATATATATATATATATATATATATATATTCAGGAGAGATGTTCCAGTTCTAGGCGATGTGGAACTCTTACAAGTTTTATTCTACTTGATATCATTTTTCATTCTAATACTTGCTATTCGGATCCCAGTTTGACCGCCATCACTCAATTGGTTCACCACGGAATGATCTTCGTGCCAATCGGATACACATTCGGAGCCGGCATGTTCGAAATGGAGAAAGTGAAAGGTGGAAGTCCTTACGGCGCCGGAACTTATGCCGGAGACGGATCTAGACAACCTTCCGAGCTCGAACTCGAGCAGGCGTTTCACCAGGGAAAACACATCGCCACCATCACCAAGAAACTCAAGGGAGTCGCATAATCCATTTTTGCGATCTCGATACAAAACTCAAGAAGGATTACATTGTTTTCTTTTTATAGTTCCATTTCCATATATTTCTATGTGATTGCAAAAAAGGGTGGTTGTTCTTTTAAACACACATTTGTATGTCTTTTATGTTGCTAAAGTTGTAATATCTTGTATCCTTCATTCATAAGAACCAATAAATATGCTTGTTGCTCATATTACATTACTCCTTTTGTACCTCAAAAATGGCAAATCTTTATCTTTACAACAAGAAATTGGAAAAGACATCTTTGGGGCCCAACTATGGACATTTTTTGTTGAGCAGATGCACCTTTAAGTTGAATCAAAGACTTACAACGTCGCATGATTTGTTTTAGGCCGAATTCCCCAGTTTCGTTGGACTTTTTCGGTTTTTTTTGGTTGATGTCCCTTATATTTTCTCGGATAGATAAATAGACACATCTTATTGCACTGATCGGGGGCGTGGGATTGATGTGAGGGGGGCAGGGATGGCTTTATTTCTGGGAGCGAACTCCGGGAGAAAGATTCCCCTTTTATGTGGAAAAGGCAATGAATTGGGATTTCCCTATTGGTCCAGGTCATTTCGGATATCTTGTAGAACCTGTCAGAGTTTAGTGCGCGTGCCTTTCATATCCAAATTTTTTTTACTTGCTAAAATCGGTCAAGCGAATGCACGGGACCCCATTGGGGTCCTCGTAGGTCTACCCCTGTTGGGGTTTTTTACCAACAGATTCGGTAAGCATTGACCGCATAAGAGTGCGGTTTGAATCGTCCTCATGCTTTTCAATTAGCATCATGGGCAAGTAACATAGGTTTGGTAAACAACAACATTTCTAACGGTCTAAGTGCTTCTTACCCGGTAAGAGGTGATAGTTCCAATCACTTGCCGAGTAAGAGTCTCTCTCTTAGCTTTACCAGATCAGCATCTCGCTCAAATGGACCTGTAGAAGGGTTTGGTAAACAGTAGTATATTTGAACAATTAAATGTATCTTATTCAGTAAGAGGTGGTAAGCAAACTAGCAAACAACTCATCGTGTCGTATGGACAACATTAATATTAGGGAAATTGGCTAAAATAGCCATTTTGGACCCTCAGATTCACTTTATAGCCACCTTTTAAACTTATTTACAGATTTAGCCTGAAATTACACAAGTGACATTATACAGCCTGCATAATACGAACATTACACAAGTTGCGTAAGTGCCACTTACGTAATGCTTCCATATTCACTTATGCAACTTGCGTAAAGTCCGTTTTTCTTCATCTTTTTAAATCCGAAAAATAGATTACGCAAGTTGCATAATGTCACTTTCCAGCTAAATCCGTCAGTTATTTTGTAGTCAATTTCTCTTGGTATTATCTCTTTCTCTCTACATCAATCCTTTTCTCTAATTCTAATCCACAAGAAGCACCATTTGTATTTCAAAATCACAAACAGATGAGACCTTACAACTTGTGGTAGGCCATTCATGTATGGGTTTTCAAGAACAATGGAAATACTCAAATACTTCAATACTCAAAAAAGGTGCCCAACTATCAAGAGTATATTCCATCTCGAGATCAGGGACGGATCCAGAATTTTTTTCAAACGATGACACCGTTTGCTTATAAGAAAAAGATATAGGGAAATTTTATCAAACGGTGGCACCATTTGACTAATAAAATGACACTAACATGATTCAAACTTGGGTCTGGGTGGGAATAAAAGCATTGCAAACCAACTCTACTAAATAAAATTTGTTCTCATTGTAGTTTCAAAATACATACGGTGACACACAACAAATGAATACGTTTGCACCTTCCACGAACCTAATTTTTTTACCCTTCAACGGAGGAATAATATGGTGGCACGTGCCACCTATACCACCAATGTAGATCTGTCAGTGCTAGAGACAGGGAATGAGGGAACAAGATGTATAAAGACCTGACATTTATCTGACACAACAGAGTGGTTGTTTCCACACGTAAATCAAAAATATAAAATTCAAACGTGAAATGTCTAGATTACCCGTGGGTGACTTGAAAACGATCATCTGATTACATGTTTGTGGAAAAATGATTAGTAATCGGTAACCTCTGAGCTGACTTACATTAACCCCTTTTTAAGAGTATGATGTGAAAGACAAATCAGATATATAATTGTCCGTTAGATGACTAACTTAAGAGCCCAACCCTCATGAAGACCCGGTCCCCAAAGAAACAACGGCTCTCACATTGTGAAGGCGAGACTCAAAACTTTACCTATTTGTATTATTGTATAAGTTCAAAAGAATCATGTAAAAAGCAAATATGATATATAGCCGTTTGTTAAAGCATCTTCAACAGATTCTCCAAATCAGATAAAATAAAGATATTGGAGATTTTGAACAAGTTTTTTTTGCTCCAACAAATTCTCCAAAATGGAGAAAGTAAGAGAAAGAATGTCTAAGGGGCTGTTCTTTTACCTCTTAATAGTTTCATTAAGATGTAACATCTGAATCGCTAAGAGGTGAATCTTGTTTGTCAAAAAAAAGTCTAAATCTTAAAGGTTCAAAAAACCTCATAATGATTTTGTATCTTGAGCCTCCTTTAACCATTCAGCGCCCAAATTTCATTCTGAACAATTACCAAATAATTATATTTTATTTTGCACTACATCATAAGAGCCTCCTAATCATTCTTGAAATTAAATGTTAAGGTCGTTTACCAAACACTTTCCCGGTAAAATTTAACACTATTATTTACATATCGAGTAAGATTTTAGTCCACCAAAACGACATCCTATGCAACAATTTACCCGGTAAGCTCTTACTGTGGTAAGAGTCGTCGCCCTCACTTACCGAGTAAGACTCATGGTCCTTGTCTCGCTCTTACCGGGTAAGATTCTTGGTACTTATCATATTCATCCGGTGAAATAACGCGACTTGGTAAGCACTTACCCTGGTAAGTATTTGGTAAACGACCCCTTAATCATTCTACACTAAACCATTCAGCAACTGCAAAACAGAGAAAAATATACACTTTTAATTATATTTCACTAATAAGAAATCTTGAAATTAAATGTTTAATAAAGAAAAATAATATTTCATTAAATGTATGAAATATCATAATAATATAATCAATGTTATACTCTTTAAAATGGAGAATCTGTTAGAGTTGAATGTGGTTTTTTTTTTATATCATATCTTGAATTTTTGAATACATATTCAAATACATCAATACATCTTATAGTTGGAAAAAAAATTAAAATATTGTTTTTTTAAGTATATAATAATTATATATAACAAATAAACCCACACACCCTCCTTACCTTTGGTGATGGTTGAACCCCTGACCTCCTAAGAGGCCAAAAACTACGATACTGCTAAACCAAAGGCCTTTTGGTAATATTAAAATATTGTTTCTTTCTTAAAAATAGAGATTTAAAGATTTCTTTAAATTTAGAGATTTCCATATTATTATTTTTCACTTTTTTTTTCTATTTTACCGTACAATACAGCAAATTATTCGAGTACAAAGCTCTCAAATCAACAAATTTTTTTATTATACTAAAAGCCGTTGGAGATGCTCTTAGGTTGACTTACGAGTCGAGTCCCCACAAACAATTCAATCCCCATATGAATTATATCTCCTACCTTATGATTGTACGACTGTTTGGACTCAAACATTTGTCTGTTTGTTATACAGGTATACGATCTTGAATTAACCACATGTTATGGATATGAGAAGTGAGAACCACAAAAAGGTTATAAACGCGTGGAAATTGGTTAAAAAGTATTTTTTGCATCAAATGCTAGATTATTAGGTATTGTTTCACATATATTTGTTTTATAACGTGATAGTTTCATATGCATTTGTTTTACAATGTGAAACTCTTTTATGTGTATTTTTCGTTTACTATATGAACCAAAATAAAGTTTCACATGGATTTTTACACCATATGAACATAAACGCATGTGAAACAGTAACTAAAATCACAGCCTTTGATGAACACAAAACATGTAAAAAAATATTTTTATGTCGGTTATAACGGGTTTGTAACCTTTTTTTTGTGGTTCTCATTTGACTATATATATGTATATATATATATATATACATACATATATGGTTGGGTTTCGATGAGAATGAGAGTTAAGGTGAAAATCATAAGAGAGATCCCCACCCTTGGATGCATATTAGACACACACACACACACATATAAAGGAGTGATCAAATGCAAACCACTCATATTTGTACAAACCGAGCAAACTACCCTCATCCGTCGATTTCATTGTTTAATCTTATGAAATTTTTTTCCATGAAAATGTGTAATCTTATGAAATTGTTTCATATAGCACTTTTTTTTTTGATGAAGTTTGTTTCATATATGGTTATAAAATTATTTCATATAATACTTATGAAATTTCAATGAAACTGTTTCATTTATTTATCCAAAATTAATATAATGAAGATGATAATATCCATAATTAACACTCTCCACAACAAAAATAATCAATCAACCTCTCTCTCTCTCTCTCTCTCTTTCTCTCTCACACACACACCACATATATATCTATACTATATTATAAAGCATTTGGCTAAAACTCTTAAAAACTCTTAAAACCGTTCATCCCTAAACGATTTCATCCTTATCCGATTTCATCCCATATCTGAATTCGTGTCTAACTGCAGATAAACACAATCAAATACAAGATAAACATCTCATTTTAAATATAAAAAATCTAAAATATAATTAGTATAATCATTGAGTTCTAACAGAATATTTAATTATTATCTTTATAAAATTTATAATATTAAACCAACAATAAATTGTTTTATTATTAAACTTAAATTAAATTATATATACAAAAATATGTTATATATTATAAATCATTTGACAAAAACTCTTAAAAACCACTTTTTATGAATAAAGTACTGTTTATTGTGCGTAGGTACAACTTATTAAAGCT